ACTAGATTAATAGTTTCTTGTCATCACTCGCATTCACTCGGTACTGCCATATCAATCATCATTATTTATGCTAATTGCTTAAGATAATATCACGTGACTCTAAACGCTCTTTAATTAGGAGAATTTCATAAAATCTAGGAAATTTGTGCTTAAAAGCTGTCGATGAATAATAACCGTCCACTCGGATGTTTCTTTTCATAACTTGAGCTAGAAACTGCTAATCTAGTTTGCTTGGCCTAATCAATACTCATGTATCTGCACGTGTTGCTATGTTTCTGCGGCTCTAAATCAGCAGCCTTTAATCTGCATGACAAAAAACTAAAAGCAGTCCACTTTTACTCTTAGATGAAGCTGTAGTAAAAATTTCAGACCAACAGTTTACGTCCCTTTTTGCGTAGGCGTGCGCAAAAATTTTCGTTAAATTTAAGCGTTATTTGTTGAGTAACTTCGCACAGGTGGCTTATACTTAGATCAAATTTGACACCTAATTGTAAATTGTAAAATTATATCAGTGTACCAACTTTGAAAAATCCATTAAAGATAAGTTTGTTTTTCAATCAAATAAAGTTTCTGTACTAAGAAAAAAAAAAGAAGAAGAAATTCAATGAAAATTGGAGATTTTATATCTCGTGCATTTCTTAATGGATTGCCTTGAAGTTTGGTATGTGAAGTAAGGGTCCAGTAGAGCACAACCGCTGAAAATATGTGATGGTTTGGCGTGCCACAGAAAGTGGAAAATTGCTAAACTATCACTTCTGTTAATAACAAACAGGGTGTCCTGCAGATCGTTTTGGCCGCACGACAACGTGTGTCTGGATTGTAATTATTACACTGTTCTTCCAAACCATTAGCTGGATGTCGTAAGTGATGTTCTATTGAAAGCCATACATATCCACAAAATGGAAAGCAATAACACTAACATGAACAGAAGGGGAAAACAAATAACACAAGTGAAAAATATCATAGATTAACAGCTTATGATCTTTATCTCTATACTAAAGCTTATTACAACATTCAAGGTTCAAACACCATCTGTATTAATTTTTCGAGAGATAATAACACTAACATGAACAGCAGGGGAAACAAATAACACAAGTGAAAAATATCATAGATTAACAGCTTATGATTTTTATCTCTATACTAGAGCTTAGTACAACATTCAAGGCTCAAACACCATCTGTATTAATCCTTTGAGAGATAACAACACTTATACCTTATTTTTTTGTTCTTCAAGGAGATTATTAGTACATAATTTACTGAATTAATTTGTTCAAGCATTGTCCCTTTATTAGGAATGTGTGTATTTAATAAATTATTTTGAAATAGAAAAATATACATAAATTTCAATTTAAATAAATATGACTTTTAAACAGTGATCTTTCTAAGGCTTCACTAAAGCATGGTAATTAATCTACTTGCATTCTCTTGTGTTCCCAGGCATCAATGGATAGCAGTATTTCAGCCCTTTCTTTTACCGCCTGCCATGTGACGGGAGGGAATATAGATGAGAAACTTGACGACGAATACGGCCTAATTATAACAGAACACTCCACACCAGAGAAAGTTCAGAGCGTAGAGAGGGCATTTAAAGAACAGGAAAACATTGGTATGATGTTACTAAGAATGATATGTACATGCATATGTGTGTGTGTGTATATATATATAACATATTATCTGGTAACAACACTAAAAGAAAAGAAAACGTTTCACATAAAATACGATAAATAATACTAAAATACAAATACTTTGTGTGAATAATAACAAGTATCTTACTAAGATATGACCCTTGTAATGGCCGTATACATATTATATAAAGTTTCACATAAAATACCGACAAATAATACTAAAATATAAATACTTTGTGGGAATAATAACAAGTAAATTACTGATATACGACCCTTATAATGGCCGTATACATATTATATAAACAGTACAGGGAAACCTAAGACGTGAAAGTTACAAATTATTATTATTATTAAACGTTCCTCGTTCTAATACTTGTCCCTTTTATAGCCCTATAATTAACCTGTACCATAGACCAAGCATGAACCAGGTATACAAAACATAAAATCAAACAATACAATTATTTAAATACAACATGTTATATTTCTCACAGTTGATTTACAACAATTGATACTAGAATCTGTTGTTCAGCCTGGGGTAATTTAAATGAAACTTGAAGATCACTCATACATAAAATTATGTTAACAAAAATTACTTATTTTTCAAATACAGAAACACCTTCGTCACCAACGTCTCAAATTTCAAAGCATTTTTTACAACCAGAACGTATTTATCTCAGTTAGAAAGAGTGAACGAACACTGGTACAAGACTTTGAAACATGAGCTAAGACCTTGGTAACTATAATTTTTGCTTATTGTAAAGGCCACGTTTTATTTACTTAATAAGTAAATATTTCAGGTATTTTGTTTCTATTCTATAGTTTGGTGGTACAGTTATTTACGTGTTATAAAGTAAAATAACACAACAAAACGTAAGATTGAAAATCTTTTTTTATATATGTTTATATATATTACAACTAGATTTCAAATACCATAGATAATTATCAACATGCAATATTAACAGTTTAGTATAAAAATGTTATGAGTTTCTTGCGCGTGTCGTAGCTTTATCCTTTTGGATTATTAATTTAATGTTACAAACAGCTTGAATTTTAATACTAACAAGTTCTATCCAAATGCTTTCATTAATTTTCATACATTAGGATCTTGTAAAGATCTCGTGGAAGTCGCGTTGGTTAATTGTAATGTTTATAAATTTTGGTATGTTAACTTTATTCTTTATTATGAAACAGGTCTTAATTCACCTCAAAGAATAAAACGTTATATTATCTTCAATAAATCTCGGTTATTTTAATGTAATTTATATAACAAGCACATAGACTCTTGATGGTTCAAAAAATAACTTTATGTTTTCAGTTAATTATAAATCCTTAAAAACCTTTTCGACTACCGATACATGTAAAAAGCAAGCAAAGCGAGTAACTTGGCTAAAAATTCCATTTATTACATTGCATTAAAGGTGTTACATTAAGTTTTCTGTACATGTTTTGATTGTAATTTATCATTATAATCGTGATAATCATTCAAAAGCCATCCTATATTTACATTATTAGCCACTTACAATTTGAATAGTTAAAGAAAACTTTGTAGAAATTTTTATAATATTTACACGATAATACATTTTAACAAATTAAGTTAGTGTTTTTTTCAAAGAATGCATACGAATATCATCTTTTGTTCACGTGTACTTTACAGAGCTGTTAGTGGAAGGTAAAAGTTTCTTAAGCAATAGAAAGGCAGGAATAGATGGTAACAGCCTAGATACAGAAGAGATATTACATAAGTTACGAGACGAAGGTTTGGTGATGAGGCCTGAATCTCGTGCTTCGGGCGGAATCAAGTAAGTAAAACGGTACAACTTGTCTATTTCACAAACCACTGTAAACTAGCCTCATAAGTATCCACCTTCCTTTTAGAAAAGTCGTTAACTAACATAAAGTAGCATACAAACTTATGAGTACACCCCATAGTTAGATGTTCGAGGTATTTAAGCGTGCAACATTGTCTCACATGATTGGTTGTAGTTTCTGTAAAATTCATTACTGGCAAATGTTTGAGATTTTCATGTTTTGGGGTTTACGAAAAATACCTTCGTACAGCTAGAAAAGTACGGTTTTGCTATTAAAATACCAAAGTAGAGAGAATTAACACCCTTTGCCAGAGTAAGAGTCAAATCTTTATATGATGCTGATTATATCCTCGGATATTCACCAATTACTGTGATGTATACATTGCACAGACACAAAGAAACTCAGTTCTATAATATGAGAAAGAAGTTCACTGATACAGATGTCGATGTCTAAAAATAAATATCCTGTGGAACAGAAAGAAAGTTGCACAAAACTTTGCTGATGGCGACAGAAAGTCAGCAACTGTACAATCTGAAGAACGCTGCAGAAATGTGGCTTTTGGGGAAGAGCAGTAGCGATAAAGCTGCGCAAAGAGATTATCTTTTGTGAAAGAACATGTATTCTAGTTTTTATTACATTGGCACAAAGCGCTTTAGACAGACAAGTCTAAATATGAACTGTTTTGTTCCAACTGGCGTTCATACGTTAGCTGAATAGCCAATGATAAGATTCAAACGAAGTGCCCTGTGCTAACCGTAAAACATATAGGAGGATCCGTGATGGTTTGGAGCGCAACATCATAGAACCACAGTACTTTAGTCTATCATGCTATCTATATCTTGTGAAAAGCTCATTCGACAGAATATCATATTTCAAGAAGATATTAAACCCAAACACTCTTTCAAGAAATATCTAGTTTATTTGCTACATACTTTTCATTTTTGGTAGAATTTCTTAAAAGATCTACTTTTGTTTATATTCGTAATTTTATGTCTTTTTCTTTTCACGTATAGTTAGTTTTTAATGTTTCATTTTCCTTTCCCGTCCTTTACTTTTTGCTACTCATTTTGGAAAAAGTCAATGGTGCGTAACTGAGGCGTAATTACAGTGTCTTCAGCAGAGATGCACAAGCTTTCAAGATGTATATTAAAAAAAATGTTTAAACATTTCAGTTATACATTTTAAAACATAACTAATACATAATTAACTAAGATATAAAAGTTAGACGTAAATACGTTTTAACTGTTTCTCTAACTGTAACATTTAGTTAAGAAAAAACTGTACAAACGTGGATAAAGCATCCAACAATACAACAGGCAGTGACATATACCGGATGACGACAACTGGGCGCGAATTTCAAAATAACCGTTGTTGGATTATAGTGTAAAATGATAAATATTCATATACCAGATGCACGACCTCAACCAAAATCATTTGTGATAAAGGATATTCCAGCATGTATTACTACAGAAGAAATAGAAGCTGAACAAACATACATTAACATATACTACCCCAATACAGAAAGAATCATCTAAAAATAGACACAAAACCAATAAACATGGTTAAGGTATACATACACAACACACAAGGCGTACACAGTATGGTATCGAACGGTCATGTGTGGGCTGTGGGGGAGAACACAGAAATACCGACTGTCCTAAGGAAATGAAAACCCTTTTAGCTGCAAGTGTAATCAACAACATACTGTCAATTATAAAGGATGTCCTAAATATACCGACATCCAAACTCGGATGTACAACGAGTCCATCACAAGTGATATTCAGCAACCAGAAGCAAACTTTAGAAAAACACCAACATCTAAAACCCCACCGACTGAAAATACACACAAATAATCGGCATCGTATACATGATGCAGCACGTAAACAATCACACTTACAAGAAACACATAAACAACAAAAGCAAACACAATCACAGCATACAAGTACCTTAGCCCAACACACAAGTCAAAAACAATTTTTACACCTCATAATTATTACAGCTAAAAATATATTCTTTGACTTCGTCCAAGAATACCAAAATCAACAAAATAAAGAAGACGGTATCACACCTTTAAACTTGGCGATTGTTTAAAACTATTCTTCAAGTTCGATTTATTTGTCGCCTATGCGGTTAACTATGTATACATGTATTTCTTTTTATATCACATAAACTATAGTAAACAGCAATGTGAACAACAATAAACATAATTGGTTGGCCAAAATATAGTTTTAAAACCTACTTTCCAACCAATCCTGATTTTTAAAAACGCATATCAGACAAATCTTTTTAATCAACGGAGAAACTAAATAAAGAAATCAACAAATGTTTTTACAGTTTCGCTGTAAAGACATATCATTTTATACTTTCAGTACATAGACTAACAACAATATTAAGTTATACTTGAGTTGCTAGGCGACATAACATAAAAGCTATTGTTGAAAACACATATCAGACAGAGTATATCATTTTTAAAAGAGTAACAGACATCAACACACGTACGATGGGAAATCAATAATTTGACATTGTTAAACACTTAGCAAACAACGCAAATAATTCAGGGAGAGAGTGTTACTATTCCACATGAGTCACCCATTTCGGTGGCTCAGCGGTAAGCTTGAGGGTTTATAATGTTAAAATTAAGAGTTCGATCCTTGCGGTGGGCAACGCGTAGATATTCCATGGTCAACAATTTTGGTAATGTGATATTTATTTATGTAATTCAGATGATATGAAACATGATTCAATATTTCGGTTTTAATGATATTTATCGTAACAATAATTAAATTCAGATAGTCTGATATCAATTAAACTTTAATCAGTAGTATAAAGCAAACGATGTGGTAGTTATATAACGTTCACAGATTAGCAGTAAATAGCATTAATTCATTAATTTCGATGATGATATACTAATCTTAAAGACTTCATTAAATTATCATATATAAAGATGAATATATTTGATATATGTGAGAGAAACGTATATTTTTAATGCATGTATAGGTTATTATAACGTCGCTTCACTATTTACTTCAAATGGCTGCCTGATTACATTTCCGAATACCTATAAAATGTGACTATGAACAACATGTTGATTATTCAGTTTAAAATATTTCTTTTCACTTCTTAGAATCAGTGATTATTAATGATATCTATTAAATATATTATACGCTTCCTTTTTTTCAAATTTAACTCTGAAATTTTTTTTGTTAAACGACAGGTTTGAATTAATTGCTAGCAGCCAAGCGCCATATTCTAAAGCAAGACGTCTTCCGCCACTTCCACTACAAAGGCGTGAAAAACAAAGAAATCGAAAGAGAAGCAGTTTAACCCACGAACAAATTCTTGAAAAATTAAAGAGAGCAGAACAACGGAGAAAGGTATGTTGAACTTAAGACTGAAACCTAAATATGAATTCCAAGTGTGGACATATCTAAAATTTTGTCTACCTTAGGTTATTGTTCATGAATTAACTTATTATATCAACTTCCATTTTGACTATAGTCTACAAACATGGGAACAGTTGCCTAGTAATGAATAATTCTGATGGATATGTTTGCACGTGTTTAACACGCATTGTTTTTGAGTTAAAAGACTCATTGTAGAATAAACAATTCCTAATTACGAGTCAAAAAGAGCGGTAAGCCACGAGTTGGATGAAAGCTCTATTTGATCATTATACTCAAGGATACTTTTGGATATCAAACAGTAATCAGCCAAGCATCTCATTATTAATAATGATTACTTATACCTGCGCTACACAACAACCGGATTGTAGAGATAGGTCTTAACAAGCTTCCTATACGAGTATTCTCTTTCGGGAAGGGATGTGACATTTTCTTTTAGTCGGCCCGGCATGACCAGGTGGTTAGGGCGCTTGACTCGCAATCTGAGGATCGCGGGTTCGAATCCCCGTCCCGTCAAACATGCTCGCCCTTTCAGCCGTGTGGCCCTTATAATGTGACGGTCAATTCAACTATTTGTTGGTAAAAGAGTAGCTCAAGAGTTGGCGGTGGGTGGCGATGACTAGCTGCCTTCCCTCTAGTCTTAGACTGCTAAATTAAGGACGGCTAGCGCAGACAGCCCTCGTGTAGCTTTGCGCAAAATTCAAAACAAACAAACAAACAGGACATATTCTCCTTATCTCTGTTAGACTGTGAAACTCACTTTAGGATATCACCCATTAAGGCTAATCACACCGGCTAATTTCACGTTTTCCAGCTTTTTTTTCCGATTGAACTCCACTTTCGCTCGCTTGGGTCGCCTCCATTTATACATTGTTCATTGAGGCCTTGAACTTTCTATAAACTACGCAACAGTATTCACTTATGGTAACGAGAAAATTACCAAAGATTCGAGTAACTTGGCGTCAACAATACTACAACAATTGAACCACACACACAATGTACGACTCTTACCGAGTTACGAAGCAAACTTGTCGTAACTATCGCCTTTAAATTAATTAATTTAACTCTCTTGGCATGAAAAATAAATAATCATTCAATATTAAGTCACAAACCAAACTAACTAACAATTCTTACAACAAACACTCTTGTATATCCAACAATCTTGTTCGATCTTGTTTTCATCTATCAACTGTTCAAGGTGAGTAATATATTGTTTAAACAGCTTAGTAAAAGCTGAAGAAAAAAGCAGAATTTAGTAATCAGCCTCCTCCTAATCATTAGAAACGAACCTTCCTTTATCATCTCTGAAAGGTCCTACCCCATCCTAACATTTTGTTTATCCTTAATGTATTTAAAGAAATATTTACTGTTAATCTGTACATTTTTACATTTTCAGTCGACATTTTTTCATACATACGTTTCAAACATTCATACATGTTCTAATTTACTGTTTGACCAACTTTCTTGATCTTCTAAATCTCCCGTCATACCAGTCATTTTAAATTTCTTAAATTTGTAACGCTTTTCTTTAATTATATCTCTTATACCCTTTGTGAGGCAACCTGTTTTTTTTTTTACTTGCAGCCACCCTTGTCTTTCTAAACAATATATAAACAATTATCTTTAAAAGTTTTCCACATCTGATCAGTGTCTCAATTAACAACAGATAATTCTTGTCACATCCCTTCAATATTATTTTTTGTTTTTAAATTTGTAACCAAAATATCATTATTCCTGATCTCCATATGTAGCAAAACACCGAACCTGATACAGCAATGATCACTTGCACATATAGTTCCCTAATTTTCACCCTTTTAATCATTTCTGTATTAGAAGTTAATAATAAATCTAAAATGTCACTGTTTCTAATAGGTTTCTTAACCAGCTAATGAAGCAAACCATATTGAATAGTTTCTAAAAACCTTTCTCTATTATGGTTTAAATCTAACATTTCCAAATCTATAAGTATGAAATTAAAATCACCCATAATTATGACCTTATTAGCAACTGATATTTTAATCTCATTCTAGAGTTTCTCATTAATTTCATCATTATCATCTGGTAGCCTGTAACAAATCCCCACTAAAAGTCTTTTCTCTTCATATCCGCTAATAGAAACCCTAATGGATTCAATGTCCTTCGCTGTTATCCTTAACTTGAACAGTTTTTAAAGTTTTACATATAAAGCAACTTCCCCCCTATTTAACACTCTATCCCTATTAAATATCCTGTGATCCTATATTTCAAAGAAATTTCTGTCATCAAAATCATCTACTTGGACTACTGTATGTATTAGTTATTCCCATTATAACAAAACCTCCATTTCTACCGCATTCTAAGCTTATTTATTTTATTTCTTATACTTCTTGCATTACAACAGTAACAATTAAACCTATCCTTATAACTACTTCTATACTCATTTCCTATACTAATGTTTTCTCTACATTTTTTCTTTTCTTTATTTTTTACACCAATGTCTAGTCCTAGTTTAAAACTTTATTTCAGGTGAGTTAATAGACCTTGCAAACAAGCCAGCTCCTACCCTATTTAAATGTAAACCATCCATTCTAAAAAAACTCTCTTCTCCCATTAAACTGATCCTAAGCTTAGCATTCATCCTTAGTGACCTGCTTATAATTTCATCACCATAAGTAATTATTGTCAGTGTCCCTGACACAATTATGTTATATCCCTTTTCTTTAACTGCCTTTATCGACCTCTGTACTTATCAGTTAGCTCTTCTGACTTACCTTTCCTTGTAACACTAGTATCTACGTGCACAACAAAAACTGCATCATTGCTAGCCTCATTTATTATATATCTTGTTCTGTCAGTTATATCCCTATTCTTTAACTGCCTTTATCGACCTCTGTATTTATCAATTAGCTCTTCTGACTTACCTTTCCTTATAACACTAGTATCTACGTGCACAACAAAAACTGCATCATTGCTAGCCTCATTTATTATATATCTTGTTCTGTCAGTTATATCCCTATTCTTTAACTGCCTTTATCGACCTCTGTATTTATCAATTAGCTCTTCTGACTTACCTTTCCTTATAACACTAGTATCTACGTGCACAACAAAAACTGCATCATTGCTAGCCCCATTTATTATATATCTTGTTCTGTCAGTTATATTTTTCACCTGTGCCCCTGGGTAGCATAATCAAATTCTTTTCTCCCTATTTACCCCACAGACTATCTTATCCACATACCTTATAAAAGAATCACCCATAACTAGAACCTTCTTAAGTTTACCATACACATCCTTCTCTGTCATTTTTGTTTTTCTTCCCTCCAATAGTTCTTCATTTGTACAAACCAAAAACTGAAATCCGTTGCTCAATATAACAGGCTCACTACAACTAAATTCCATACTTTTAGCCCTAACAGTACTCTTTCGAACTTTCTGAAAGTTATTGTTAGCTGCATGTAAAAAGCTTAAGTTCCTCTTTAAATCCTGCTGCCATTTCCCACAGTCTATTCTTCCCTTTATCTATTGCCTCTACTTTAACTATAATAGCTTCCAACCTTCAAACTCTACAAACAAATGACACATTTTCCTATAGAAAGGTCGGTTAAAAATAAGATGTGATGGAGATTCTTCTGTTTCAGTTAATATGCACACTGTTCTTTTTCTTTTCGTTATTTTTAATGGTACATTTTTCAAACTGCAATTAACACCTCACTCTAGCAATAAAACGAAGCATCATTTTTGAGCTTCTATAAAATACACATCAATTATGTAATATCAAAGATGAAACCATTGGAAAGGAAGCTAATATATTTTACACGAAAAATTAACATCTATTTAAATATATTAAAAATATAATACGAGAGGTTGATTCCAGAAAGAAAAAGAACAATGTTTCGTTTCATAAGAAAGCAAAAATGTATGAAGACATTCCATTGACTGTATCATACATAAATGATAAACTAGCCACTTCATTAATACAATAAATAAAAGGATTTGGATTAAATATTAGATTGTGTAATAAGAACAACATACCGATAGTAAACTAAGTGTCAAAAATATATAGAGCGTCTGAGTGCAGTATAGAAAAAAAATGGCAAGTTCAAAAAACATTATATTTAGTTACCTTTAAAACATTTTGAGAAACACACATAAGCCAAACGAATAGACCACTACACAACTGAAGTTTGAACATGTAAAAGACGTTCTGAATGCAAACCAAAGAATCACAGTAGAAGAGTACTAAACGAAAGAAATGTGGTGTACCAAATACGGGAAACTCAGAATCTAAAGTAGAAACGTTTACAAAAGGACATAATTGCTTAGACCTGAATAATCGATCTTAGTACAAAGAAATTTGCAGAAGATGAACAGAAACAAAGATCGGACTTTATGAAAACACTGAGACAAAAGATGTATTTTTTGTATACCTTCCTTCCTTAGATCTCCTAATGGTATACATATATATATGTAAGTTTCTTTAGTAATATTGTATTCTTAACTCATTAACGCGTTATATGGTAATATCAAAATATATCACTAGTGTATGAAAGTGTAACTTGCCAATAGAATTCCGTGCTGTTCTTAACATGGGCGTTATATATTACATCACATTGTGTGTTTTGGAATTTGTTTGTTTGCGAACTCCTCCCACATATAGTACAAAGGTAGTATTCAGGAAGGAGGGTGCAAAGGACCCCGAAAGGTCACCTAAGCATGATAGGGGTCTAGCAGTAGATTTATAGGGACGCTGATCACGAATTTGGCATCGGATTTTGTGTTGTTTACCTCCACGGAATCCCGGGAGCAACATTTTTGAAAATGTTTTCACACACACATTCACAGCTAATGGGATTACACTTAGTACACATGCGGTTTTTAGTCGCGGCATAACGGTTCATAGAATGGCTCCAAATTTTTTTCAAATACAAACATTTAGCTCATAGCTCCACCTCTTGACCGATTTGAGATCTAATTACAGTTTTGAAGTCAGGAGGTCAAACCCTTTCCATTGATATATTTGACCACGCCCAAGGTCTCACAATATTAATTTACTCTAATCCAACCTACAATGATTTCAATTTGAGGGTAAGCTGGTAGAGGTCCTGATGAATAATAAAATCGAATCGGGCATACGCGCACCCCAGGTTTGGTATTGCTGGCGCACAAAAATATAGCTAATAAAAATGGAAAAAAAAGCCTCATAGATTAATTTACTCCTATCCTGCCTAAAAGAATTTCAAGTACCGCGGCTGTTGAGGATTCTCTCTCGTTTTGGGGTACATATCACTTTGAGGCAGCTAGAGAAGGAATAGAAAATAATAATAGAGTTTGATCGGTATATTTGTAATCATGTACAAGGAAAACACTATACTTATTGTAAGCTATACGAACACAGAAACACGTTAGTTAATATAATTTAGCTATTAAATAATGTGTTGCTGTGTTCGTATTATGCTAATACACTGGATTTCTCCACAACTTTACTGTAATAAGTATTACGAAGATCTTGATTTTTCTTCATCATTTTCTTCAACATGCATTTTAGTAAAATGAAAGATAAAATCCTCTCGTGCATAGTGAATAAATTGTAATTGTATCATAATCAGATGGTTTTCCCTAAGTTTTGGAGTATGGCAGAAATGAAGGAGAGACTAGTAGGCATGTTATTGTACTCACACAAGGATAACTTTATTATATCTACTGCGGTTACATAAAAATGGCTGTGAACTGAAAATGTGATACAACCATCTATAGTATCTCGAACAAGAACTGAATCTAGATTATATGTGAAGCACGTGAGAAAGAAAAGTTAATGTTATTTCAATTTTTAATAGCCTATTGTAATACGTAATAACACGTGAATGCATCAGGCATCATCAGGTACTGGCGAAACCATGGTCGTGAATAAATGATGTATTTTTGAAACCATTAATTGTCTTGTTTTTCCTCAATTCTGTAATTATGGAGTGTCGCCAAGTACCAATGGTTTCAAGTATCAGTTATATCAACCCCCAAGTAAACAAGAAAACATGCTAACAAGACAATATATATCTACATTGGTAATAATTATATTTTAACATTACACAATAAGAAAGTATAACCAACTATAAATTACACACAAGTTGTGTTTATAATAAAGAAATGAAAGTTGTTTTTATGAAAAATAATAATACATATTTCTATTTATAAAACTTCTTTCAGCTTTATAATTAATTTTATTCAATCAAGTAATGCCTACTTTATATCAAGTATATAATAACAATATTAATAAGAACAATACTTTGACGACGTGATTCTTAGATATAATGTATAACAATGACATTTTTTTGTAATACTTTCAGAATATAATGTAAATAATATAAATTAAAAGTTTTAATGATTCTATCTAAAGAATGATTTTAGCAGGAGTGTTTTTCATCTAATTACTAATTTTCATCTAATTAATCTAATTTCTAATGATTCTATCTAAAGAATGATTTTAGCAGGAGTGTTTTTCATCTAATTACATATTTGTTTTTTTTTTCAAGGTGCTTCTATATCTAAACTTTATATAAATGAGTTAATTGTTCGTGACAGTCAAAAATATCTAGATCTAATAGTTTTTCATGTATAAACGTTTCGTTCTTAAGTTACAACATACGATGTATCATATTATATTTTGAAGAATAACATTAATGACCCTTTGACCCACTTAACTCCAGCTTTTAACTTCTAAGATTATGGTTTGTAGCTATTACTTTTACCTTTGAGATTAAAATGCGTCTTTAATTACCTTTTTATCTTGAAGAATAAAGTTTTGTGTATTGCTATTTTAGCAAAATATTACAATTTACTATGTATAGATTGTATTACTCTCTTTTCTCTTACGTGTTCAAAATATTCGTTGTTTCCCCCTTTGCCTTATAATAGCAATTCATAATATATTTCAGCAACAAGAAGAGGAAAGGCTGAGCAAAATAACTTCAAAAGAAAGAATTGATGAAGTGTTAAATGTAGGAGTTCAACTGACAAAAGAGAAGAGAGAAAAACATAATGAAAAAATGGATGCCACTATCAAGAGCAGGTTTTTGAAACTAAAGAATGTCATTCTTTATGATAACATAAGATATCATATTCGTTATAAACTGGGAATTACATATTTCACATACTATGGCTCACATTTTAACTATCTTTAGCACGCAAAAATGAAAGGTCCTATACAAGATGACTGACACAAGACAATATGTCGGTAGAGCAACAGGTTATGTGAAACTGTTCATTTTGAAAATTTCCTATATTACTACAAGAAAATGGAAAACCCATGGTATGCTGAAATGCTACATGTTTCCTTTGCCCTTTTCTGAGGCTTGTTCTCAAGCCGACATTACTCTTAGCTTTTAAGCCAATGAAGTTTACAAACGTGCATTATTCAAGGAGTGGCAAAACTTTTTCTCGCCCTTGTAAAAACATTTACACACAATATACAGAAAACAACTTTTCAACAAAAGGATTCAATAGTTACATCAATATACACTTTAACAGTGATTCATTACAAATGAAGCATTTTTTAATAACACAGGTATCTGTTGCATAATAATAAATAAAAGGTTAACGAAAATTAATTCACATAATTAATCATTTTTTCTATAAATAACACTCTTGTAATCCCTTCCATGTTAGGCTTTTTTTAGAAATGAGCTAAAAAACTCATATTTGTTATTTCAATTTCTAATAGCCTATTGTAATACGTAATAACACGTGAATGCATTTGCACAAATATATAAAAGTACAGAGAGGAATGGTTTGCTCGAATTAACTTAGACAAATATGTTTTAAACGTAGAGGGCACTCGTGTTATCTCGGGCAAATCACAGAAGGGGTTAATATAGATAACTTAGCAGGTATTAAACACAGGAATACAATCGACTATTACACTTCACTACAACCAACAAAATATAAAAAAAACCACTTAAAATGATATATATATATATATATATATTATTCAAAAACACTCTTCAACAAAGAAGATCAATATATAATAAAAAATTAAATAAACAATACAGCTCAAAAGTCACACTATAAGAATGCTTCTTAAAACAAAAACAAATCGAAATCACGAAAATGCTATCATTCTGGTGACAATACTGCTTGCTCTCCAGCCAAGTCCCATTCCTCCCACTACCATCTGGTTGTTACTTGAATAGAGTTCCAGATTCCAGTGGTCAAGAAATGTGGATCAAGCCTACAGAAACATGTTGTTAAGCATATGAGCTGCCCAGATTAGCAAACATTAACTTCTGACCATGATAATCAGCTAATGCTTACATCATCTCTCCTTTGTGGCTTCTTCTAGATATAAGCTAGTATTATCAAGGTGTTGTTAGAAAATTTCATTAAGCAGATGTTACTCTCTGCCATCACACTCATAGCTTACATTCTCACGCATCTTTGACTGCATCTTGTATTCAAACAATGTTATAAAGTATTTCAACCTGCATGACCAAAAATATTTTATCATAACCAAACAAAAACAGTGGTATGCTAAATTTACTTGTAATGTGATATACATGCTATTTTTTATGATATTCATCTACTATTGATAATTTCACCCACTCATAAATATTTGATTTGATCTAATAAGAATACCTTCCACCACTTTTGCTTAAAAACAGCAAGTAGAACTGTGTTTTATGTTTCACTCATTTCTTACAGTTGGATTCTGTGTAATCTATCTGTTTCTGTTATGCAACACTGATGAATACCGTCATCTAATTTTTATATATAGGTATATATACACATACATATATGTATATATCACCATTACACATTGTCACAAGCATCATAGCATATAGCAGAATGCCTCTGGCTCGAGCATAAATTACATTGGTTGCCTCAAGTTACCTTCCACAAGTCACTTGTTAACAACATTGATCTTTAATGTGCTTCCATCTTCAAGCCATCAAACTCAACAGTTTTATCTTTTCAAACATAATGAAGACATAACCATTGATATAATTTAGCTAAACTAAGCTATTTCGGTAGGAATTCTCATCAACTGTTACTGAAGTATACATATCAATATACACTGAGAAGAAACATAGCTCCCTCACTCCATGCAGATAAGCTACATATAAAGTTAAGTATAATGTTCTTACATTTGTAACTGCTCATACAATTGACATAGGTTATGTGAAACGTGTACTATTCTACTCTATTTGAAATGACTGTGTTTCACCTTGCTGCATGACAAAAAACACACATGCTAGTTATGGCTCCTTCATTTGATCTTCTCAGAGCTTAACACTGCCATGGCAGAAACAGTTTCAACTTCCACATGATGTTGAAGGTCAGGCCATTTAATGAACACAGGGGTCTCTCATTATGGCGAGACAGTCCTTGGGCATTTCTGTTTGTTGGCCTAGAAATGAGGTATGACTAAATTTTACTCATATAACACTGTTATCCAGCATTCATTCATTCGTTCATTTTACTTTCATCAACCTTTTGAGCAAAGTATGGCTTACTCTTTTAGTGAAGATTTTACAAAGATATTCACAAAGAATACAACTGCTAGTAGTTATTTCTCCATCATAAATTAGCTGTATTTAGTAGCTATGAGTGTGTGACTATCAAAATGATTACACATTCTACTCCTTGCTTCAACTGCAACAACTTTGCTTCAATTCCACTATCACTTGAACTAGTACCTAAGAAGAATGTATGGATATACCAATACTGGAGCTTACACTAATTCATGTTTTAATGACTTATATTTATGCTCAAAACTGAAGTGAGTTTCTACATTAGTGATCATTGATAATAGTGTAGCGAAGTTGGAGAAGTTGGTCAAAAATCTTAGTTAAGATGATTCAAAACCAAAGAAAGCTGTTGCTTGCTCATGAGTTGATGCCAGTCTCTCATTGCTGCTTTCTTAAGAGGATCTATGGATACTTCATTCTTTTTTTTACGACATAACCAAGAAATTATATTTGCATGTGCATGGATTTCGGTCTCAAGCCTGCCTTTTTTATCTGCTGAAATACCATATTATGGTTCTCAGCCACAGACTCGAACATGTGACCAAACACTAAGACGTAATCAAAATAGACCAGACATTTCTCCGATTGCAGTTTCTTTAGTGTAAGCTCTGTTTGCCTCTCAAACTTAGCATAAGGCAAAATTCAGAAAAGCCACCTCACATGTAAAAACAGTCTTAGATCTGCTCTAATAATCTAGACCAACTTGCCATTACCTGGATGATATATCCAAAGGGCTGAATCAATGACAGCTTTACAATGTGTCAATGTATTTACAGCTAGGGAAAGAAAGGCATTGATGCAAGCTGTCACCTTCATCTATCTAAGATCAAGACAAAACCTGGGTGTACCTTCCTTGCTTCTAACAATTACTATTTGGGACAAAAAGTATTCTCTGAAGGTTTTATGATTCGATCCACTGTATCTCAGCACTGGCTACACACTTAATGCTCTACAAATGTCTGTGCAGCAGTGGTATGATTGGATGTGCTTCACCTGTATTTATGTGTAATTGTTATCTGACGCAATCAGCCATCTGGTCCCACTTATACATCAGCATATCCAACCAACAAGTCACTAAGTTATTGTTGCTGCATTGAATCCAGATTGTTTGTATAATCCTCAAACATCAATCTCAAATGTGTTAGCAGCCGTATGCTAATTTGCAGACATGATATGACAGATTCAAACCTAGTGGTTACTTTCACTTTACTTACCATTCCGATGACTGCATTAGTAGGAACCTAGATAACTGATTATACAAAACAGCACATGTATTTCTTCCCTCCCCACAAAGATAACTACTTGAGGCAATTCTACTTGATTTTTTGATAGGAAAACTACATTTGATGTGTGAGTTCTATAACCATGCTAAATAGTTTATCAATGCACTGGAATTTATTCATAGTAAACCATGGAATACCATTTATGTACAAAGGGGTACTGTGATTTCCTCTCTTACATACACTCATGATGTCTACTGTTCCTGAGTCTTATCTAGCTGGCATTGGATAATTCTCACTTGCACATAAATATATTACTTGCACAGATGAAACTTACTGAGAGGCTCTATTGTACATCTATCCAAAAGATGCCACTCTATAACTGAGGTTGGTTTTATTCTCTGAGTGATGCTACTCAGACTTCTAGGTCACTCATTCACCCTTGAACGTTTACAGATATGTACATATTTCCACCAAACCCCGAGAGATCTGAGCTGACCATAAAGCCCATCAGTGCAATCTGACTGCCATGCTCTCCCAAGTTGGTGGTCATGCCCATCTTGTGTTCCATTAGTTTTCAGGAGCTGTAGTGGTGGCATTTCCCCCCTACCTGGGGACTTTCCTGAACTTGCTGACTCAAACCGATAACCTTTCCCATCCTGCTGCATGGTAAGGTGTGGGTAGCATATTTTATAGTGACCCACCGTTCATCAGCCAGAGCAGATGCTTTTGTTCTTCTGTTTTATAACTACATCTGGGTAGAGAAATTACTGGCTACAGCTGTGGCATATAAACCATGGGGAGCTGTTATAGTCCTGCCCATTCACTGTAAAGCATAGTGGTTGCGTTGCAGTGATGGATCCAATTTGGTAAGACAATTTGTCTACTGTATGGCTACTGCTGCATGCTTCATCCTCTCTTGCAACTATCTAGAAGTTACTTACCTTGTGCCTTGTCCCGACAAAAATTTTTTCTGTTAAGATGAGAATATTTCTACGTTAATCAATTCTACAGGAAGTTCCTCAATGAACTTATCCACTAAGATATCTTCTCAATCCGTAGAGGCCATTTCTGGGTATCTATTCCTATGCAGACAAAGCAAATAATCTATATAAGTGATAAAACCTCGGTGATGCCTTGAAGCTATTTTTACCATGGGAAAACAAAAGATGCTACTCTATATCAATCATACGGAAAAATAGATAGCTACAGCAATAACAACTTATCTAACTTCTTGACCAATATGTCATGTGAAAACTGCAGAGATCTGCAGAAATAAATATTTTTTTGAAAACTTCCTACAATGAGTTATAAAACACCTGGTATGCTTATATACTACTGTATCAGTGAAGGATCACTCCATTTGTTTTAAACTGGATTATTAGTAAAGGATTGCTTTGCCTCTAATTAGTAATGATGAAGGGATATGCAGGCATTCTTTGTGTATAACGTTAATGGAAGGACGCTTAGGTTTGCTTTATAATATTAATGGTGGGATACTCAAGTTTGATTTGTCTGTAGTATTGATGGAGGAACATCCAGGTTTGCTTTTTAAGCAGTAATAGTGGATAGTGGCCTGGATAGTGAGTCTAATGACGAATTTTAATTTTATGATGAAAATACATGTAAATACAAAAAATATTATGGCAAGATCTGACAGTGCCTAACTTTGTTTAAAATAGAAACTATTGCAATTAATCATATCACTACTGTTTACGTTTTAAGATACTTTAATTTATCTTACGAATTATTGTACTTACTAATTAGACGTAATAATGTGTTTCAGAACCCTAGGTACAGAAAAATAGCACATCATGTCAATATTTGTTACTGAGAACTTAGTGTTACGAACCACGAGATAAGTTTAGTTGTTGAATATAATTCTACGGCGAATAAGAATATACTTTGAGGCTAATTATTTCAGTATTTGGACCTTAAAGAGTTTTATTTGTTAATCATGAAAAGATTTGACTTACCAATGGAAAATTTCCATAAAAAATTTATAATATCTTTAAGGCCATTAAGCCATCATAAAGCAACCAGTACGGTTTTGTCATATTCTGATTTAAAATAAAGTATATTTTTCAGGGAAAAACACCTTCAGGATCTACAAAGTAAACTTCGAGCACAGGAAGAAAGAGCTGAAAGAGTTCGTGAGAGGAAAAAATCTTTAAACAGAGTTGCAACCATCCCGGAAGATCAAGAAGTGGTGGATCGATTTCACTGGTGTTTCGGTGAAGAAGAGAAAGCGTGTTGATTGAAAGAATACAGCACGATCATTTAATATTTGGATTGTAAAGACGTGAAAAGAAACACAAACTTCTGTAATATTTTCAGTTGAGAGAGATCTTAACGAAACTGCACACTACTTGTTGGGCTAACTTGTTACATGCTTTTCTGTATTCGTGCTCCTCTAAAGGGATTTGTGGTTCCATATGTACCACAAGGATATTCTTCAATTATTTAACCATGAAAATTTTTATACAATTTTAAAAATTAAGGAAAGCAATTGTTTTTACTCTGTTATTTATACTTTTAAATATTCCTGCGAAAGATGCAACGTTTGTACTTATAACATAAAAGCACTAATAAAATGTGAATTTTCTTTTCCATATTTCCTTTTTCCTGCTCTATGAGAATGTTCATATTTATTAAACTGACTTTGAGCTCTGGCAAGTACTTTGAAATGATTTTTATCGACAATAGCATTATAATATTTTAGCATATATTTAATCCTCCAATTGGATTACTTTTGGGCTATCCATTTCATTTGCGTTACACCTTACAATTTGATGTTTATATTCCAGTTTGTAAATCTGTGATAAATTTATTGCGTTACTTAAAATATGAATAAGATAAGCTCTTTAGGAAAATAGTTTAAGGATGAAATACCATATTTATTAAATAACAATCCAAAATGATACTGATATACTTATTTGATTTTGATTTTATAATGTATAAATAGCATGAAGAAACTTCATATTGATTTGGTTGATTTTATAAAACATTATTGAAAAACAGTATTTGTAAATGTGTTCTTAGATACGCACATTTCGGTATTAACACCAACAGGACTTTCAATAAGATCTGAACGATGTATAAGCGTTGGAATGGTGTGTGTGTGTGTGTTGAGGGGGAGAGGCAGAAACAGTATAATGGGAGCTGGTATCCACCTTAGCCTACCCAAATGTATCGATAGCTTTTCAATTTCTCCATCTTGAATTGAGTTTTCTACACAAAATAATAAAGCAGTATTCTAAAGTGATTTTATTAGCAGGAGTCTAAAGAATAAGATCAAAATATTAAGATAAAAATTCAAGATCATGTAGATTAGCCATAATATCTTGACCTCCACTACACCAGGATAGACTCGAATTGCCACTCTAATTGCCACACATTTTCGAGGAAGCATGTTTCCGAATCCCCTCCTACACACATATTTTATTTCCGACTTCTATACTATGTAATTGTCTAGTATTCAGTCACGCTAATGTTGTACAGATAAGTTAAAAAAAATCCACAAAACATACATGCAGGAAATCTACTGAAGAGAATACTTTCGAATTAGAACAGAAAAGTGAAGAAATACGTACCCACAACTAAATGAATAAGGCGAAATTTTTATTCGAAATATTTACCAGACTGACCGGCCTCTTTTTTCTATAGTCACTGTTGAATTTCAAAGGTATTTCTATTCATGTCGAAATTCAGACAAAATTTTAAAGGTGTGGTATGCCAGATCCATACATTACCTACTATAACAAATAAATTTTATAGGGCAGGAAACCTTTAAAATATATTAGTATAAGTACCTAGGCCACTGACTGAGATGGAGTTGCCCCTCAAAAGGGGCAACTTGTTTGTTTGTTTCTGTATCTTCGTGTCAAACTACTCAAAGACTGCCTGCGCCAGCCGTGCCTATTTTTGAAAGGTGGACCAGATGGAAGGCAGCTTATCAAATACGCCCACCGCCAAATCTAGGGTTATTCTTATCTGAACATAGAGTGGGATTTGGTTGTCAAACTTGTAATGTAACCATGACCTAAAACTGCGAAGCGATTTTCTTCTATTTGCAGTAATGGGACGTGAAAGGGGGACTCTTAGATCCATAGTATACTAAGCTACGATCTATTTTAGAACACTGGAACAAAGTGATACAAGTTTCTAGCCATTGGCATGTGCATGAGAACACCTGTACGAAAATGTAGAAAAAAATTATCCGAATGTATTTTACTAAAGGTGTATTCTAAATTAAATATAGTAGGGTGAAATTAATCAATATTTCAATCGTTACGTTTGTAACCGTAAAAAGAGTAGCCTGATTTTGAAGAAAGTACACATTTTTTTAAAAATTTTATAATTGCTTTCTGGCAGAATTATTATTCTAAAGTAAATAAACAATGAATGAAATTAGTTTCTTATACGTTGACAAGTGTTTGTTTTATTTTTAAATATGGATATACATATGCGGTTCTTTATTGGGTAAAAATTAGTAGAACAATTTTTAAGGTTTGGGAAATAAAAATGGTTGTTTCAATATACCATTGAGATCAAATAAGTAGTTATAAAACGGTGATTTGTTTGTGTATAGTTTCTAATGAATACAAATAGATGTTAAAATATGCATGTCATTTATATTAGTATTTTCATGCAAATCTGTTGGTAAATCAATGAGCTGTCGTGATTTTACATAAAATTTATTAACATGCAATATCAAATTCAACAGTAAATGTTCAGTGCAATAACAATGCTTATTATTTCATTGTAAAACATAATATTTGCTATACTTAACATACTTTTAAATTATAATTAATCATACATATTAATCTGAGAAATGTAGATTAATGTTTATATATATATATATGTTAGAGAAATTGAATATTACTTTACAGTTAGTGTCATAATACCTTATTTCAAATACTTCATTATTTCCTATTAATTTTATAAATAAGGTAAGCCTGTCGAAGAGACTAGTTATATAATGTGCATTAAAATGTTTTAGTTCTCGTTCCTTTTAGAAACAGGGATTAAAGAAGTATCCAATACGTTCTACTGGCAAATGGTTAGCTCAAGCTAATTTTTTATATTCAGTTACTATTTACAGTAATGTATACACAATGCACTAACAAAATTACTGCAAGAACACCCTTCGACAAAAGAGGGTATCATGCTTATTTTTAAGGATATTTTAATATATCCTCAATGGCTTAGGCCTGAAATATTGAACTAAATTAAGAATACTGTCATCTAGTTTTGGGGCTCTATACTTAACTTTCATCAGCCGTGTTTATCACTTTAGCCACTAGAAACTCTTTTGGTTTTATGTATAAAATAAATTTCGTTATTAGCTCTTTTCACCAAACCTTTTTTTACACATATGAGTAGAAATAAAACGCAGTTTGTTTTCTACCAAAGTGGCTCCAAGTATAGGATTATTTAATGGTATTCTTCTTCTGTCTTTCAGATGGCGCTGGGAACAACTCATTTGGAGTCATGTCTTGGTCTTGAGCCAGCAAAAACAGATAATACACATTATTTATTTCATATATCTGTTAAAACCGTTTCCCATTTATTTTCACAGTTGGTATGACAAGAGGAATTTCCGAAGTGTTCTAAAGGCTGCTGTCAAACCCAGACCAAGAAACATTGCTTCCCTTCATAACTTCTCTTCATGTTGAAATTTAGCTGAAACGTCGTCTTTTACACTTGTGTTTCTACAACAGGCAGTTGCCGTCCATTCAACTAAATGTAGTCGTGAATACTCTGCCTAAACAATCTATCAAAGAACTTCCCTTTGTCTTTCACTCCAGTTTCAATGCTACAGGCAAATCTAAAAACAAACAAATAAAATCTTAAATTCGTACCTCTGATGAATATGACGTGATCTACAGTCCATCTGCGAAATCCAGCAGAATGTACAACTAACTGGGAGGAAAATTGGCTGAGGTGGTGGACAACCCCCTGATGTAAAATGAAGTTGAGATTGAGCACATGTGAGCCAGGTTTGCCAACACTAAGTGAGGTCTGAATAAGATTCAGGATGATCTCAAGAAGTCAGAAGCAACCGATGGCAAAACAACAGCAGCCTTGGTGGTGGGGTTAAGGTGAGTGGGAGAGTTACTTCAAAAAATCTCAAAAAATGAACATATATATATTCATTTTTTTATTATAATTCGTCACGATGACGTCCTCACTTCTTTGTGCATGCAAGTGTGTATGAAAGATCAGGAATTTAAAGTTTTTCTTTGTTTAATTTGTTTTATGCATGGATAAAGTATGACGATGCTATTTTCTTGTGCACAATCATTAGTGGGTGCACCTGCAAGGAATGATAGATCTGTGAGTCTAATCTTTTGTGCCTTTTTGTTTGTTTTTCTAAAAAAAAAATGAAGAGACATAAACGTTTTAGCTAAATTAACATTGATGTTTTTCTTATTTTTATATTGTGAAAACATGTTGACCTTCATTCAATACTGATTTTTATACTGAATTCAGTTTTAATGTTTTCTTTTGTATGTTGTGTTTCAACTTTTATAATCGTTATTAAAAGACTTTGCATTTGGATTCTTTCCTTCTTTTTTTTCCTACTTAGGTATATTTTTTGTAATTGAATGTATGTAACCACATATTGTTTTAATATTTTCTAAAAGGTTGTTTTTAAAGTTAGTTCATTGCGAATTTCACGAATTTTGACCATAATTAAAGCCTTTTAATTTTAAGTGCTGTATTATTTAAAGTATTTAGTCAAAGGTATTTTGAGTTATGGCCAATGGATTATGTTCTGTATTATTTGAATTCTAAACTTGAGAAAATGAAATCAAGTGGATTATATTAAGAGATTGTGAATCAATAGTAAATAGCGTTTTTTATTGTATTATTTGTACTTAACTAAAGTGACATTATTATTTGTTAAATATTTTTATTCTCAATATTGTACTAGAATTTGAATCAACGTTAACGAATTGCTTTGTGTTGTGTACCAATTGTAATTCTTTATTAAGGGGTTTTGTGCTGTCTGTGTCCTGTGTAAATATTTTAGGAAAAAAGAAATTATTGACTATTTAGCTTCTTCACTGTCATTATGGCAATACGTGGTCCAGGGCTGCTAATATTATCTTGTTCTACTCTCTTCACTCCTTTGTTATTTGGGTAGGAGATGTCTTCTACCCACAGGGATATTTCAGTACTGTATATTAAGTCTGGGTTAAACGAGTTAAATGATCAGATGAGGCAGTTTATGTTGAGGTGCCAAAGGAATAGAATTACTAGATGAAGAGGATGAAAATGATTCATTTTATTCTTCGCAAGATAACTCTTGTGTTTCACAATTCGCTGGTGAATGTGGCACTGGAAGACCATCCCCATGAGATACTGGTTTCATTGCAGATGCAATATCAGGATATTTAATGTATTGTTTAGTCTTATCTGAAATAGCCAGGAACATTATTTATGCAAAAATATCAGATAGTTAGATGATCTTTGGGCTCACACCATATCATGGGAACTGCAAATGGTATACTTGGTCTTTTCTTATTCAACCGCTGTGTCAAGGCAGATGTGTAGGCTGTACAACATACATGTGGAGCCCAATGTTTTTCTTGGTCATCAATATTACACCCAAAATAGTGGTAGTAAGCTACCTTCATCTTGTGTGGAAATGTTTTGAACTTTTGTAAGTGTCAACAATGGTTCAGCAAATTTCGTTCAGGTGACTTTAGCCTTAAAAACTGTGATGACAGGGGCCGACATGTTGGAATTGGTATTGATGTTCTGAAGACGCTTGTTGTGTCTAACCCAAGGCAAAATACTTGTGAAATGGCCCTGAAATTGCATCTCTTTCATGAAACAATACGTAAACATCTTATGAATATTGAAAAACTCTTAAAGATGACAAAACCTTTTCGAAACGTTGTACATTTGCTGTTATGTTAAACTTATATTAAAGATTTTCTTCATTACCCATTCAAGCCGTCTCCAATCATTATTAATTTGTTTATTTGTTTGAAGTTAGGCACACAGTCACACAAGGGGCTATCTGTGCTCTGTCCACCACGAGTATCGAGAACCGGTTTCTAGCGTTGTAAGTCCGCTGTGCCACTGGCTGTGGGGGCGTAAAACTACAAGTCATCTGAAATGAAACTTATTATTTCGCTTATTAACTTGAACCTTAACATTACGATCCACACAGACAATATTACATTTGTTATTCAGAAGAGGTAAAGTTAATCAATAATCATAATGGAGAATTTGGTGACAGTTCTAATGAATATTGGATTGTATGAATATTATGGATAGTAATATTGGATAGTTTTTTTTCCATATAGAAGCACACGTAATTATATATATATATCTATACATCACGAATTTGTGAAATTAATATAATTTTAATTGATTTTATATGGTGGGAGTTCTCTAGTAAATAAGTTAATCTAACAAGCATGTAAAACAATTACAAAAATAGGACGACGACGACGACATGTCCTCTTTATATTTATTCTGTTATTGATGTTTTAATTTGAAAACTGTTATTTTGGTTAATCGGTTTCGCTTCTTACTTATTCCGAAATTTTGTGAATTTTTAACACATTCAAAAGTGTCAAATGAAGGCATGTTGTCAGATAAACGGTAATCTAAGAAATATATACTTGTACATGCACTCGATTAAAATGTAGAGTAACATTTGTTATTTAGAGGCCAAATTCAAACGAAGACGTTCTTGAGCATATACTCTCCTTGATTCAAGATATGCCTGTGCAGAAGAACAATCTCTCTTTAGTTTATTAACATTAAAATGCCTTTCAATTTCCTATAAAAATTTCGATTTTAAACATACTAGTTAAAATGTCATCGAATTTGAGTAGAAAGTCATAACTATCCATAGATATTCTTTATAACAGTGTATTAAATAATGAAACTCTATGTTTGAAATTGTACAGGGAAATATAAGGCCTTTATAAAGCTGAGGGAAACTACAACAATGCGAGAGTACAGCTGACTAATTATACAAAATAAGTGTTGTACGTCACGGTAATCCTTAAAAATACGTTCATGTCGTTCACAACCTATTGTGATCGTATTGAATCTTCTTTAGAATCCCGTAGATTTATAATGCAGATATAAGTGTCATATTTGTTTTCTTTCCAGCAGATTATAATGGCTACACAAGCACAATCTACAGATTTGAAAGAGAAACTACAAATCTGTGTGTGTGTGTAATGAAACACTTTATATGTATGTGCTATCCCGTTTTTTCCCCCCCATAAACAAGACACACCGTTTATGTACCATAATTATAAACTTTTATTACAGGGTCAACTACAACATAAATGTTTAGGACACGAGCCACATAGAAGTGTACATAAATGCTGAGTATATATATATATATATATATATATATGATACAGAGTGGATATATCCAATACACTTTTCTGTATTATCTTGTACACAATATAACACTAAAGACAATTTTAAACCGAAATAACGCCATTAAACACTTCTGAAACTGCTCCATGTTTGTGAACAAACAATATAATACCACCCAACACTAAAGGTATTCAATGTATTGAATGCCTTAAAGTTATAAAAATATACTAATAGCACACTTGAAAAAATCAGAGATAAAGAAGTGTATTTATTGCAAATAAGCAACAGTTAACAAGCCTCATTTTCTGATATATTATATATAAAGAAAATATTTTATAGCTAAAATACATAATATTAAAATGATACTTTATTTTCTAAGTTACCTACTTGCAACGTTTGTTTTTATAGGCTTAACACTTACACAAAAGAAAAAAAACTTTGAAAAGCTATTCCATTGTAATGCTTGGAATCACACTAACAATTATGTACATATATATCTCTTGAAATATTTTTAGTAACTACCATGATATTCTTTACTTTTTAAAGATTGTTAGAAATATATTAATATGTCCGTTTTCGATTCCAGAATATATGTTTGTAGTTGAGGGAGAATGTCAGAAATAAAATTGTTACTAGCAACTGCGAAATGATGCGGGAGTAATATGTAAGCTAGAGACGTAAAACTATATACGTTTCACTTCAGTGCTATAGTTTCCCTGAATGAGATGACTGTGAGCAAAAACGTTTGGAGTTTAGCGTCATGTTTCATTACACTTTTTTTTATACATTATTGTACTTCTGTACGCCCCCAGAGGCTTACAGTAAAGCGTAGTTGAACGGTGGCGTCAACTTTCATTTAGTGAAAGACAGTAAAAAGTGGGGAGTTTAAAGTTATGATCAGTCTTGCTGTGGTGTTTTGTAACGTGAAACTGAGCCTCGCCAGATTTGCGTTTATAGTTCATAGTTTATCACAAGTTTATAGTTGTGAGAATAAAAGCCTCCAGTGCTCGTATTTCATGCATATGCTCTCGTTCTTATATTTGCCTTTTTTTTCGATAATTTTTTACTTTCACGAGGAAACTTCCAGCAGAGAAAATGTAAATTTAAACATAATTAAACTTAATTCCTTAACCATTTATTCTTTCGCTAAAGAACTTTACTCAGATATTGGTGTAATTTTTGCCTTCATATTAAAAAAGTATCGACAGACAAGTTTTATTAAGTGCTAATTTCAAACGGGTTTTAATGTGACCCGTGAACCACCGAGTGTTCCTTTAAATAAGGTTTTTGCTTGTGTTTTGATAATTTAATCATTTCTAAGAAACTTTAAGCACGAAAACGTTACAAAGATATATTTTAAATAACTTAAGAAGTCAAATATGGTGATGTAATATAGATTTCACTGCCGGGAAAAATTTAAATGGGTTTTGTTTGTTTACTGTCAGGATGTGTTACTTACACGTATGTAAGGTGTTAATTATCTTTGGGATTTGGAATGATGCAACATGTCTTTAATTGACAGATCTTAAATTAAGAAGCAAACATATTCGTATGATGTCTTTGTATGTGAGAGTTTCGTTTGAATGGGTTTTCCGAAGACTCAGTCCTAGGCTAAAAGGCTTATATATAACCCTAAAACCTGGGTTTCGATTCTCCGCAGTGGATGCAGCGCTGATAACTCATTGTGTAGCTTTGGTTTAAATAAGAACGGTTTCCTGCAAAATAATTTTATATTTAAAAATTAATTCTATTCTTTCATTACACAGGATATTACAATAAGAATTTCACTCTGGCATAATCTTAGCTGTTCTGTTTTTATTTGTTTTTAAACACATCTTTGGGAAAATATATAGAAAGGATGAATAAACACCTAAAAGATTCGTCACCAGTTTAAATCCAGAGTAAGCACATTGTTTGGAAAGTAATTAATTGATGCCTTATGATTATTTTCTAACCAAGTTTCAAGATTAGTAAATACACCATCTTACCTTTAACTTGATTATAAACATTAGTTGTGCTTCGAAAACTAGTGAAACGTTTACTGGTTCAGAAATTCACTTCGAATAAAAGATTAATTCTTTACCTTTGCTTAATTTAAACTTCTGAATCAACCCGAAAAAAACACACACATGATAAAACAAATATTTTAATAGTCTTGACCTCCAGGTCTGATAAAAAAGGTGTTTATAAATTATGTGCTCAAAGAAGATAAAACATACAGACTGATACAACCAAATACGTAACTAAACTTCACAGCCCGAGGTTAAATATATATATATGTACAAACTAATGGAAGACCATCACGAATAAAATCATTTGTTATGTGTTTCAATAGTTACGTTTAGCGTGTCTAAGATACTTTTGTTTTCAAAGCGCTAAATACAATACCATTAGTCACAGCTGTTCTTGATGTTTTCACATATGTTATGCAGTCAAAATTCGTGTTAGGTACTTAATCCATTATAGTAAAAGAAATGTTAAAAGCATATGTGTATATATGTAGAATGAAAAAGAAGAAAATATTTCAGTTCTTTTTTAGATTCATGTGAAATATAACTCGAAACTTATGATTTAAGCCTGCTGCTCTGATAATGTCACACTGAAAAAAAAAATACATAAAAGGTAGTAGTATTGGAACAACGTGCCTGTTTAGGATGTCAAAGAAAGCTGAAGAACACTAAATAACGGAAAAGAATCCTAACGGACTACGATACCGAGGTGATGAGGCTGCATATTTAGAAATCTCAAATGTTTTCCATTAACGATCGCGTGTCATTTCTTTTCATGGGTATGTTTAAAACCACCATCTTTCACTAAATTCACGTATCTCACGTTCTTTGTTATTTGCATCATGAGCGAGAAGATTTACGAAATGAAACTAGAATTTGAGGAAAATATCATGTGTAAAACTTGTACATAAATACATTACTCCTAAATATATATTTCTATACTATACTTATAACAATAACTTCCCATAACATGTTACAAATAAACTTACATATATGTATTGTATATTATACTTTGCTTTTTGACTAACTTAGAACGGTGTGCCAATATATTTTTCCATACACATTTTAAAATTCAATAGGTTATTGAACTAAAAACGTCGATAGTACGTAGATATGGGCGAAGCATAAACATCTTTCTAAAATATTGCTTTAGTTAATTCTGCAAAACTGGTCAGTTGTTTAACAAGCGAAAACCAGTGGCTACCTCAAGTTCAACATAAATTTTGGTCATTCTTTACAGGCAAAATATATGATGATCACTCGTTCTTCATTTGCTCGAAAAAAGTTGTTGCTGGAAAGGAAAAAGAACAATGTATTTCATTTTCATTTCTATAGATATGTTTGATAGCAGTTAGTTGATTGTAAAATGTGGAATAATTATTTACTAAAGAGAGCATTTTAATCAGGTACAGCAAAGCTATAATACTTTATTGTCAAGTCATAATGGCGTGAACTACTATTGAAAAATGTATTAAAATATATTGATTGTTTACTTTAAACCAGAAAGAACGCACACAGCTTTCACTTCTTCTCTTTTTCTATGTTTATCATCTTCTTCTTGTCTGTTATTTCTGTTAGGCGTAATAGTTAATGAAACTAATACTTAACAATATCACTGTGGTAAATAACACTGGAAATGTATTTAACATTTTACAATTTATATATATAAGATTAAGAAAAGAAAGAGGAAAAACAAAAAACAGTTTATTTTTTTTTTCATTTAGAAAGACTTCGATTAATATATATTTTTTAAAGAATTAGTTATAACTTTAAATATATTTGTTGTTTGAAGTACACAGATGGCTATACGGTGTTGTGTCCATTGCGAATATTGAAACCCAAGTCTCAGCGTTATAAGCTCTCAGAATTACCCCCCAGCCACTTTTGGCGCCTATTTGAAACAATAAATGTAGCTAACTTATTTACATATAGATTGGAAATTAAATCTGATCACTTCTTATCTAAAAACGCAAGACTAATAGAATTATTGGTTTATGTTTACAAGGTGTGTGTGTGTGTGTGTGTGTGTGTACGGTTTTGTTTTGTTTAATGTAAAGCACAAAGCAACCAAATGGATTTGTGATGTGCCAATCGCTGGTACTGAAACCAAAATTCAGATTTATAAGACCTCAAACTTAACGTTTAGCAAATGGTGGGCGTATGTGTGCGCGTATAACATTACTAATTGGAGGTTATCAGTTGTATACGAAAATCCAACATATATATTCCAATCAACTTCCAAGTCAAAATGTTTTTTCAAATCGTTGGTACAGTATGTACGAAATGCATTTATGATTTTTTTATTTTTTCCCAAATCATTTACTACAGTAGTACCTAGTAATAAAGATCGTGATGAAACAAAATGGCGACCATAAAAATCGCCCGTTTAAAGCCACCTATAAAATGTCTGAATATTAACAATGACTATTTCACAGTACTGGCTGAGCAAAGCTAAAGATTATTGTACTTATAAAACCGACTAAATCGCTATATACGTGTTTATGGAGTGAATTAAAATTCCACTACTTCAACGGATTTTCATCTAAGTAAGTAACTAAATGACTTTTCCAGACAAGCGTACAGAAAAAAAAGGCTCTAATTCTTTCACAGAATTTTTCCGTTTGAGGTTCTGATGATTCCTTTCTTATACCAAAAAAAGGATACAAGTATATATGTATAAAACAGACGATGCGCTACTTTGGAGATACACCTAGATTTAAGGGTAGAGATCCTCATGAGTAATAAAATCGAATCAGGTATACCCGCGCCCCACGCTTGGTACTGCTGACACATAAAAATATTGCTAATAAAAATGAAATACAAAAGTATAATAAAAAAATTTAATTTTATAAAGACAAATAGGGATCGATATGTGCGTAACCTCGCTAGCTATTGTAATATAGAACGTTTTAATGCTTCAAAAAGTATTGAAACAAGAAAGTCAAAACAACAAAACTGATTAACTAACAGACTAACATACATAATTACAGCGATTTGTCAAGGTAAGGATAAATAAATTTTTGATTTTAAATAACTAAATTTTTCTTGGTTTTGAGTTTCTTGTTTCAATACTTTTTCTAGCATTAAAACTTTCTATATTACTATAGCCAGCTAGGTTACGAAGGGGAGACCGGGGCTAGTTGTTACGATTTTTAGAAAAAGTCCAATATCTAGCGAAATAACCCGAATCATACATTGAAACTGAATGAAAGTGAAATATAAATATGTACTTTATCAAAATTAGGTATTCTATATT